ATATCTTCGTTACTTCTTTAACTTCGTTTTCTCAAATTGGCTATTTAAATTCGCTTTTGCGCACAAACTGTATAATGACAATAGGTGTTGGTAAATCTGCACTCACAATCCAGTTTATTCAAGCACACTTTGTTGACGAATATGATCCCACTATTGAAGGTGTGTAGAAAAGCGGAGATACACACAATTTTGATATATTCATACATAAAAAATTTCTACGTTGAGATTCTTAGCGCTAAATCAAATATTTTTTCAATTCAGACTCCTATCGTAAACAATGCGTCATTGATGATGAAGTCGCTTTATTAGATGTGCTGGATACTGCTGGGCAAGAGGAATACAGGCATGTGTTTAAATATGATTGATCATATTGAAACTTTCATATTTTAACACCTTGACATTCTTAATAGTGCCATGCGAGAACAATACATGCGTACTGGAGAGGGATTCCTTCTTGTTTATTCCATTACATCTCGTAATTCTTTTGACGAAATTTCTACGTTCCATCAACAAATTCTTCGCGTGAAAGATAAGGATTACTTTCCAACAATTGTTGTGGCTAATAAATGTGATTTAGAGATGGAAAGACAAGTTTCTGGACAGGGTTTGTATGGCAAAAATTTTTATCTTATGTCCTTGTTTTTTTTTCATATATCCTTATTACTTGCAATATGTATAGAGGGTCGAGAGCTTGCCAAAAATTTCAACTGTAGATTTATCGAGACTTCTGCCAAGCAACGCATTAATGTAGATGAAGCATTCTATAATCTTGTCCGTGAGATTAGAAGATACAACAAAGAGCAGCAATTTGGGGGCCGAAACCCTGCAAATCCGGGAGGCAATGAATACTCTCATGAAGGAATTGAAGAGGGTGGTTGTTGTTGTGTGGTCATGTAAAAAAAATATATATTTATATATTACATTATATTATATCAATTTTTTTTCTTTAAAAAAAAAAAAAAAAAAAACAGATCATAAAAATCAACCTTTTCCATCCACATTTATAATTACTTTGAAACGCTTTCACATATCATTCATTACACCAACACAAAGGAATGGATTGGGTGATATATGTAGATGTCTGATAGATATTTTTTTTATTTTACAATTAGAATCGTTCGTTTTATCATCTTTTTATTTAAACGGGCGGCTGATTTGTTCATTTTGACCTTTTCGGTTCCAAAATGATAGGTTGTATCTTTAGTGTTTCATTATATTATTATTATTTCTTTTTTTATTCTATACCATATTTCTTGCACTTGCCTCTTATATCAGTTACGAAAGCTCAACTTCTTTTTTATCGTTCCCTCTAATCGTTGAGTGGTTTCAATACACATTCGTCATGAATGTTTATTAAGAATGCAAGAGCTGGGCTCAATTACTTAGTATATTATTAATATATATGTTCTTGTCTATATT